CGTGCATGTATGCGCATACTTAGAAGGGAATGCATACACGTGTATGTGAAAAAGCAGGTTGATGTGTACAGGTATACTCATACGTGGATGTATAGGTATACGTATATTTATACACATACAACTGTACTTGCTTATGTATACGTATGTGTATGTATGTGTGTATAGGTACATGTACATTTGTAAGTAAATGTGTCTGTATACGTACATGTACATGTATATCTAGGTGTACATGTACATGTATGTGTATATGCATGTGTGTGTGTTTAATTCATCTTTGTATGTAAGTGTATTCTTCGCCTGTGTATGTGTATGTGGATGTGTGTTTGCACATACTTGTGTTTATGAATTCGTATGTAGGTATAGTTGTGCATGTATATTGATATGTGAACGGTTCGTAGGTGTAGATGTGCATGCACATGTATCTGTCTATGTCTATGTCGCCACTTTTGTTTATGCATATGTATATGTCTGCGTATTCATATGTACATGCATATGTGTATGTGTATGCATATGTATTCGTAGCTGTATATACAAACGTGTGTGCGTATGCGTGTGAGTTTGTATATATATGTACACACGTATTTGTGTATACGATAGTGTGCTTATGTATCTATTCATGCGTGTGTATATGTATACGTACATGCCCATGCATTTATAGTTTAACGTTTATGTATATGCAGATGCATATGCACATGCATATGCACATGCATATGTATATGTATATGTAATTGTCTTAGTACATGTAGTAATATATGCTTATGCATATGCAGATGTATATGTATATGTATATGTGTATGTATATGTACATGTATATGCATATGCATGGGTCTATGCATTTATATGTATATATATATACGTATATGTGTATGTGTATGCATATGTATATGTATATGTATACGTATGTGTAAATGAATATGTTTATGTTTTTGTTTTTATGCGTAAGTATGTGTATATGTATATGTATTTGTGTATATATACATATAGATATATGAGTATGTATCTGTATATATTTGTATTCGTTTATGTATATGTAATATGCATATGTGTTTGTATATGTAGATGTATATGTATATGTATTTGTGTATGTATATCGATACGTATTTGTAGATGTATATGTATATGTAGATGTATACGTATATGTTTATATATTTATACATGTGTGTGCATATGTATATGAATATGTATATGCAGTTTCATACGTATATGTACATGTTTATGTTTATGTCTATGTATTTGTATATATATGTATATATATATATGTGTATATGTGTATGTGTATGTATATGTATGTGAATATGATTATGAATATGAATATGAAGGTGAACATGTATGTGTATATATGTATGTATGTATGTATGTATGTATGTATGTATGTATATATATATATATATATATATATATCTATGTATAGATTTGTATGTATGTTTATGTATATGTTTATGACTATGTTTATGCATATGTATATGTATAGATGTATGTGTATGTATAGGTATATGTACATCTGTATCCGTACCCAAATACTCAGTGATTTCCTCACCCTCGCCGTACTAATGCAGGGTCCCGAGTGAGCCCTCTTCCAGGTCCTCTGAGGCTGCTTGCAGGCCGTCTTGGGGGCCTCTTGGGCCGTCGTGGGCGCCTTTGGGGCTGTTTTGGGGCGGTCTCGGGGCCCTGTTGAGCTGTCTTGAGGCCTTTTGGGCCGTGGGCAGTCTCTCCGGGGGCCCTCCTGGAGCGTCTTGGCCCAACGTGGGCCCCTCTTTGGCCGCCCTGGGCTCGTCTTGGGGCCCTCTTGGGCGCCTATTGTGGCATTTCGGAGCGATCCCAGGGCCCCCTTCGGCCGTCTCGAGCGTTCTGGAGACCGAGAAGCCGAGTATGCGAAAATGGCACCGAAGTCCACGGAACAATTAGAATTTTTCACCCCGGGAGCCTCTTGGGAGTCGTCTTCGGGACCCCCTGGGCCATCTGGGGAGCCCGTTGGGCCGTCGAGTGGCCATCTTGGGCCCATCTTGGGCCATCTTGGGCCCATCGTGGCCGTTTTGGGGAGCTCGCCAGGCCCTCCTGAGGCCTCCTGGGGCCCTCCTGGGCCGTCTTGGGGCCATCTGGGCCGTTTTGGGCCCTCCTGGGGCGCACGCGAACCAGCCTCCCTGGCCACAGCCGAGGTTGTGTCAAATCAGTTTTCTTTGAAGAAGGGAACTGGTAGTATTAGTACAGGTATCGATGTATATGCATATTTCTATGTACATGTATATGTGCATGTATATGTATACGTATATTTACATGTAGATGTCTGTATGTGTGATCTGTATGTGTATGTGCATTTGCATAGTTATAATTATTGCCATGCGTATATGTATCGGCATAGGTGTCTGTATTCGTATACGTATATGTATATGTACATGTTTATGTATATGTATCATGTATTTTCATCTGTGTACTTGTATGTTTAGATGTATGTATATGTATCTCTGTATCTGTACATGTGTATGCATTTGTGTAGGGAGGTGCATCTATATATGTACATGTGTATGTATATGGATATGTATATGTATTTGTATAGGTATACGTACATGCATATGTATCTGTAGTTGTACATATATATGTATGAATGCATCCATTTAAACTGGTTGTGCACGTGTAACTGTACATTTACTTGTATGTGTATCTGTATAGGGATATGATTCTGTATGTACAAATATACATTTGTAGGTGACTTGCTATGCATATGCGTACGTAGACGTGTAGGTGTACGCATATGTATATATATATATATATATAGGTTCGTGTATATGTTCATGTACATATGTACTTTCAGGTACGTGTTTTATGTCGATGCATATGAGCATATGTGTATATGATACAGTTACACATCTATCTATGTCTATGTCTATGTATTTGCATAGGTGCATGTACATATGTAAGTGCATTTGTATGAATACATGTTCGTACATGTATGTGTATACATGTGTACAGATCTATATGATACCGGAGAAAGGCCCCAACCAACGTCTTTTTAGGGCTACAGGGCTACTGGGCTACAGGGCGATGGAGCTATGGGTCTATAGGGCTGTGGGGCTATAGGGCTATAGGGCCATAGGGCTATAGGTCTATAGTGCTATCGGGCTAGAGGGCTATAGGGCAATAGGGCTGTAGGGCTATAGGGCTACGGGGCTATGGGGCCCTGGGGCTATGGGGCTATACGGCCATAGGGCCGTAGGGCTATGAATCTACAGGGCTATGGGGCTATACGGGTTATAGGACCATGGGGCTATAGGAGGGATATAGGGCTATTGGGCTATAGGGCTATACGGCTATATGCATATAGAGCCATAGGGCTATCGGGCTATAAGGCTATAGGGTTAGGGCTATAGGGCTATAGAACTGTAGGGCTTTAGGGCGATAGGGCTATAGGGCTATAAGTCTATAAGGCTGTAAGGCTATAGTGCTATAGTGCTGTAGGGCTATTGGGCTATAGGGCTATTGGGCTATGGGGCTATATGGCTATAAGGCTATAGGGCTATAGGGCTATAAGGCTATAGGGCCGTAGGGCTATAGGGCTATAGGGCTATAGGGCTATAAGGCTATAGGGCCGTAGGGCTATAGGGCTATAGGGCTATAGGGCTACAGGGCTATAAGGCACCCATGCACCCGGGCACCCAGGCACCTGGGCACCCGGGCACCCTGGCACCTGGGCACCCGGACACCTGAGCATCCGGGCGGGTCGCGGAAATCGGTGGCAAAGCTCTCTTAACCATATGAATCCGCTAGGACCCCTACAGAGGTAAGCCCTGATCGGGGAATGTACGTATGTATGTATGTATGTATGTATGTATGTATGTATGTATGTATGTATGCATGCATGCATGCATGTATGTATGTATGCATGTATGTATGTATGTATGTATGTATGTATGCATGCATGCATGCATGCATGCATGTATGTATGTATGTATGTGTATATGTATGTATGTATGTATGTATATATATATATATATATATATATATATATGTGTATATACATATGTATAATCCGGGGCGCGCAGCCTGGAGCTCCAGGACGGCTTGGACCCTGCATGGCTGGTCCGCGGCCTCGGGGGCTCTCGAAGATGGCCCCATGACGGCCCCAGACGGCCTCAGGACGGCCCTCGAGGCAGCCATACGGCCCAAGGTGGCCCCAAGCAGGCCCAATAGTGCCCGCGAGGCTTCCCAAACACCTCGTGGGACCTCATGATGAGGTCCCACGAGGCCCCCGAAGCGGCTTCCAAGAGATCTCCAGGAGGCCAAAAACAAGAACAAGGATATCGCCTTGTCGCTGTCGACGGGCACTTCAGGCCTGCAGAAGGCGTCCTCAACACCCAGAGCGAGTTATGTGCAGAGTAGAGGCAGGCGGAAAAAGATCATGGCACATGTCACGTTATTGTATTGTAGTGCATTGTTTTGTATTTTGCGCTTTGATTTGCTTGCCTTGTCTTGCTTTGCTCTGCCTTGCTCAGCACTGCTGTGCACTGCTGCGCATGCACATTGCGTTAAAGTAATGTTCAGTGCAGTGCAATGCCTTGGCTTGCTTTGTGTTGCTTTGTGTTTTTCCTTGCGCTACGTTGTCTCTCGTTCAAGGGTACTGCATTGCATCACATTGCTTCGCAGTCAATTGCGATGCATTGCATCGCTTTGCCAATGCCATGGCTCTGCACAGTACCGCGTTGCATGGGTTAGTATGGGTCTCAAACTGAATCGCATTGTACTGCAGTGCGCTGCATTTGGCAGTTGTCAATCGCAGTTTGCAATTACGTGCGCACATGGATTTCATTTTCACTTGTATTCGTATTTTGAGTGGAAGTGTATCGCAGCGCACCGTATTACATGGTGGTCTCCGTGTTGCAAGTCGTTTGGCGGTGCAATGCTATTTGTTTGCTTGAAACAATTCCAGCAAGCAACCTTTCAGAACACATCATTGCATTCCATTCCTACAGTGCCGCAGAGCAGAACGGTACAGGCTGCTGTGGCATTTTTGGCGCAAGCTATGTAGCTGACATTCTCAGGCTTTACGCTGGTGATGTTTAGTCCAGCGTTCGACTGTGGTCGGAGCTTCGGCTCCGACACAGCACGTGAGTGGCACAGATATCCATCTTACAAGCATTGCGATGTTGTCAGGACCATGTCCTCGCAATCACAGTGGCCTCGTGCTGGCAGTGGATGCCGTACTCCAACATCATGGGTAGCAAAAGGTTCGCTTTCGCCTCTTTTGGGCAAATCTCGTTGGCGTCCAGTGTCGATGTTTTGCTCAACGTCAGCTCCCTGTGAGATGAGCGAAGAGCAGGTTAGCGAGGCTTTGCTCACGGTTCCGCAGCTTTTGCGCCGATATTTCACCCCTGTGGTGGCAATCGCCCTGTATGCATCTCGACGCGCATGTGCTGGTATACGGCCGGCTTTTAAGGCCGCCTCCGCAGCAGTTCGCATGAGGTGTTGCTGCTGCCGCGGACCTTCATCCAAGAAACCGTGTTGCAGGGGGATGTCTTTGTTGGAGCGTGCTGCTCAGCATGGATGCGTTTTTTGCACCAAGTGCCTTCTGATGGGCTATGGTTCTCAGGAACCGCTGCGCGCAGCGTTGGCGATCAGCAGCTCCGAGGTCCGTGCGCTACTGCAGGCCCACGAAGCGCCAAGCCTTGAAGTGGCCACCCCTCAGGGGAGGAGCGTTCCGACGGGAAGCGCGGGCATCCCAAAGGTTGTACACCAGGTGTGGATTGGACCCCGAGAGGTACCAGAAGAATGGATTGATTCTTGGCGTGAGCAGCACCGATCTGCCTATCCAGACTGGAAGCATGTTCTGTGGAGGGATGATGATGTTGCAGGCGTACTGCCATCAGGACTGTCGGATGCATACGAGTCCTTGCCGCATTGGTGCCTCAAAGCTGACATAGCTAGATATACGATTTTGGCAAAGCATGGTGGAGTATACATGGATGCTGACACTGCATGGCTCGGACGAGCAGGACTAGATTCCGTCATGGATGGTCGACGTGTGGCCCTGGCGTGGGAGAATCCTCCTGATGAAGGGTTTGGTCTGGACGAGCGGATCGGAAACAGCGTCATCGGCGTCGTTCCAGGGCATCCTCTCATGTTGAGTTTGATGGACGTGATCTCGAGGGACTTCAGAGTTCTGCTAGATTTCCTCGGGGAGCGCTCTCCCTTCTTGAGTGACTTCAGAATCGGGTACCGCCTGACGTCTCCGCCAGCAATCACGCGCACGTACCACTCCCTGGGGCTCGATGCAGCAGATCTCCTTCCTTCCTCCACGTTCTACCCCATCCCGTGGTGGCGGTCGCAGAGCCTCTCCAAGACGCTGGCGGAGACGAGAGCCATGTTCCCAACGGCTGTGGCTACCCACTACGGTTACTCTACGAATCGCATGGGAGGGCAGACGCCGGACGTTGCGTCGGCAGCTCAATCTCAGGCCGTGTGATCCAAGCCAGCGAGGCATCGAGAGACACGTCGAGCAGATGAGCGGTTTCTCAAGCAGCGGCCCATGAATCAGCCATGGTCGGACCTGTCAGATTTTCTCCCAAAGGCCAGTCCATCCCCCTGTGCGCTCACTGTGTGATCCCCCACCCTGTGGAAGGTTTTCGGTCAAGCGCTCAAGTGTTCGGTAGCAAGTCATGGGAGCCTTGTATACACTCGTAACTCGTAATTCTAGCGTCGATTAGCGTCGACTAGCGTCGGGGAGTCGTGAGATGGCGCCAATTTAGCGTCGATTTAGCGTCGATGAGCGTTGATTTAGCGTCGACATGCGTCGATCCGCCAGAGCCAGCAAGAGGGTATGGAGGCTCCAATGAGTTGCCGACTAACTCAGGTCAAGTGCTCAAGTGAGACCGATAGTGCGATCGACTGCGAGATCGATAGAGAGATCAATCATGGTATGGATAATTAGATCGATTGAACGGCATGGATCGATCGTCAGATCGATCGTGACGCGTTCCAGAGATGACGCGCTTCAGGCGGCGGCAACGGCGGCCTCGGCCTTTTGTTGGGCCTGGGCCAGAGCAGAGGCACAGCACCGAGCCCAGGCGAAGCCTCGAGCCGAAGAGCACGGAGGCTCTTCTTCTTCGGGAAGGGCCTCGCCTCTGGGGATCGAAGGAGTTGGCGCCTCCTCCTCGGCAGGTGATCGGTTTTGCCGATCGGCGCAGGCCCCCTAACCCCCCTCCCCCCCCATGGAGTAGATCTTGGCTGCTTTTGGCACCTGTTTCGAGCAGGTGGAGGAGTCCCTCCCCCATAGGACGCACTGCTGCAAACAGTCGCAGTAAGCAGAGGTCCAGAGCCAGACCCCCGCCTCCCACCCCTCCCCCTTGCCGCCCAATGTCGAAACGCCGGATAAAAAAAACGCTCACCAGAATCGGAGGATGATAGAACTCTATCCTGACACGTCGATTAATGAATTGGCCGTTTTCGGTTCGCGAGAGGGCGTCGCGGCTGTTATTTTTGCGGGTCCAGGTCCGTCGGTTTCGGTTCTAGGCCGTTTTCACTAAAGGGAGGTGTACTAAATGGAGGTTTGTCCACCGCCGACAGAAGGTAAGATGGCGGAAGGCCAGCGAACGTCGGCGAAGTAAGACGAGCGCGGCTGCGACGGCGGAAGCCGGCTGCAGATGGCGGAAGGCGGGCGGAAGCCGGCAAGAGTAAGAGCTGCCCTCCCAAAGAGATGCCAACTCTTTACGATTCAGGGCTTCTGGAACGAGCCACGTGTTTCTTTGGAGCCATCATGCGCGCTCACGTGCTTCCGCGAAGGCCAGCGAAGGCCGGTGAAGTGAAGCGAGCGAGGCCCTTCGGGAAGGGCCTCGCCTTCGAGGGTCGAAGGAGTTGGCGCCTCCTCCTCGGCAGAAGGTGGGGAGGCGGAAGGCCAGCGAAGTACAGCGAGCGAGACTCTTCGGCACCGTAACGTGTACTCATATTTTGGGGCCTTTTTCTGGCGTGGCAGCGTTGTCCACCTCGGGGAGGATTGGGTTCGCCGGGTCACCACAGGCAGGGGAGTGATGGGGAGGAGGGGGAGGAGGAGGAGGAGGAGGAGGAGGAGGAGGAGGAGGAGGAGGAGGAGGAGCTCCCCATCCTCCATCCTCCCCTGTCCTACCCATGGCAGTGGTGGAGGAAGACTGGCTCATCAAGCGTTGCTCTGCTAAGGGACGCAATTTCTTTCGGATCCGGGGTTTTCGGGTGCTGCTTGAATAGTGCCCCTGGCCCGAGGTGCCCCCAGCACTTCCGAGGAGGCCTCCGCTGGCCTCCGGAGCCCCCCTCGCGAGGCCCAGAGGGCCCCAGAGGGCCCCCCAGAGTGGAGCGAAAAGCTTGGGGCACCTTGGACCAGGGGTACCTTTAGCAGCCCCCGAGGTTTCGGGGGCCCGCCGAGTGGTTCAAAAGAAAGCCCTAATAATCCGGACCCCCCCCGCTTCCAAAAAAGACGCCTCAAAAAACCAGACCCAGGGGACGATTATTAGGGGATTTCGAGTAAACATGAACTTTCGGAGCTCCGATCCAAGAAATTCGCGCGGATCTCCGAGAGCTAATGTTTCTGGAACCCAGCCAGCTTGATCCGGTTCAAGCCTGTGCTTACTTTTGCTCACTCTGGCCCAGTAAGCCCCCAATCGGACCTTGACAGTCCTTCATCCTTACTCGTTCCCACGAAGACCATGCTAGCCTGAAGCGTATCACCGTCCCTAAGATTGTCATCACCTCAAGGACTCCCCCAGTTTGTGAGGGACCAAAAGGTTCCTCGCGCTAGGCTGGTCAATCTTAGAGATTGGTTGCGTGCCCGAGCCATCGAATATTGTTGGACATCATGACTCCCAGCTCGCCAGAGACGCGCAGCCGCGCAGCACCGCGCAACACCGCGCAGCACCGCACCGCGCCCTGCTCCGAGCGGCGACGTGCGGTGCTGCGCGGTGTAGGTTTCAGAGCCGCTCCCCAAAGGCCCCACTTGTGTCGAGATTGGTGAGAGGACCTCCCACTGGATGGCGTCAACAATTCACCCACACCGATCCCGCCCTGGCCGATCCCGTGCCCTGGTCTGGCACACACGCCTCCCTGGCCTGGCGAGGATGGCATGCATACGGACCCTAGGCCAAGGGGTACATGACCTCGAGAATTCAGAGGTATTGTTGCCCGATGGATGTTCAGGCCGTGTCTTGATTCGGAGGCGGTGCACCTTGTGTTTTGATTTGTCCGTCTCTGGTTAATTCAAGCTTCGCGCGGCCCGCTTAGCTTCGACCGGAAGAGGTGCGCTCTCGACCCGCAAATCAAAAAAATGTGTTTTGATTTGGCCGTTTCTTGATTTTCGTTTGCAGGTCCCCGGTGGTGTTCGACCAAGTTGGGTGTCGGATATAGTGGCCGCCGCTGCGCGCATGGCTCTTCCAGGGCCACGCGGCGGAGGGGTTATGTGGGCTCACTCTGAAGGAGCAACAGGCTGGGAAAGAAAACAGACAAAAATCCCCCAAACAGATAGAAGTTCCCCAACGTGTATATCTATTGAGTATTCGCTTTTCGGACACGAATATTTAATGCGTAGTCGCTTTTGTAAAACATGTAGTCGTGATTATTCGATAAAGTAGGTGTTTGTCTTTAGGATACATTTTTCTTGTTCGCAGACATTCGTTTTGTCTTGGGGGGAAGTCCATGTTCAACTAGACGCCGCCACGGGATCTGAGGACCTCGTCGCCGTGGTAGGGCGCGCGGCCACACTTGCAGTGGGCTCAACTGGGGAGGGGGCAAAGACGAAGGACGTAATCGGTGAGTGGACTTCGCGGAGATAAGTGAAAGCTCCACGCGCATTCGCAGCCAGGGGTGAATGCGCGGTTTGCGCGGGGCCACTGCAGGCGCGTTTCGCGCGAGTGTGCGGATCGAGACATCTGTTCCCAACTGAGTTCCACGTTGCTTTACCTGGGGGGTGGGGCCTCCGATGCCGTTGGCCAGCATAGCTGACGTCCGCCGATCCCAGAAGTTGCCTCCAGGCATCCTACGATCCGATGTTTTCAAGACCCCAGATGCCCTCGCCCCCCTTCCCCGGTGCCAGCCCTCCGCCCCAGATCCATTCTTCAGGGCCCCGAGATCGAGGACCAGCGCCCTGGCTTGCAAAAGTCGTCGGCGAGCGCGGGGGGAAGGGAGAGGGACAAGGCTTGCTTGGAAGGCGCTGGGGGGCTTCTCAGCAGCCCTCGCGCCCTCTGAGAGGCTTTCTGTGTCTTCGGGGAAGGCCTAAAATACTTATCGGAAGGCCAGGGGGCTTCGAGCCTTTGAGAAGGCCCGCCCTTTCTGACTTCTCCCCCGGGCTCGCCGCCGATCAAGTCATGTCTTTGGTGGTCTTGGGTGCTCGCCAGCAGAAGAGGGAGAGGATGATGATGATGATGATGATGATGATGATGATGATGATGATGATGATGATGATGATGATGATGATGATGATGATGATGATGATGATGAGATGAGATGATGATGATGGTGTCCCGATGAAGATGATGATGATGATAGTGTCCCGATGATGATGATAGTGTCCCGATGATGAGGATGACAATGCTCATGATGATTATGTTGATGATGATGATGATGATGATGGTGTACCGATGATGATGACGATGATGGTGTCCCGAGGAGGATGATGTTGATGACGATGATG